CCCGAGCCTGGACCGGATCGCCCGCAGCTGCCCGGCTGAGCCGGCCCTTCTCTTTGCAGCTATGACATGGTGCACTACGGCCACTCGAACCAGCTGCGCCAGGCACGGGCCATGGGCGATTACCTGATCGTTGGGGTCCACACCGATGGTAAGGGGTTCCACCAGGATTCCTCCCGTGCAGCCCCTCAGATTGCCCAGCAGCATTAGCCCCAAGAGCTCCTGATAGGGTCAGGCTTCATCCTGCATCTGCTCCAGCATCAGTAGCCTCCAAGAGAAACATGTCCCTTCTCTGGGAGTGGAGTTACCCCGTCATACTTTTGGACTGAGGATTAGGTGGGTCAGGTCTTGCAGGCTCCGAGGGTTAATCTGCCTTCTGTGCTATAAAAACAGTTGAAACAGCCAAAAATCAGTCTGCTTTTGCTGGTAGGAGGTGCGGAATTTACGTTTCAAAACAAATTACCTTGTGAAGAAAACTCTTTTTAAGGCAATCTGGAAGTTAAGTGTCAGAAACAAGTTCTGGCGTGTCAAGATGTATTTTAAATGGGTTTGTGGATGCAGAATTTCCAGTATGAACCAGGGGTAGTATGAAGTTACTGTTTAAGAGGGAAATTTCTCCTGAGGGGATGCTGGGAGCCCCAGCTCATCCCTTCAGGAAGAAGTATCTGGGTACAGGGAAGCACTGAGACATTTTGCCCTCTGAGTGAATTCCAGGGCCCTTGTTAAATGTTTAGGAAATGCAACCGAATCAAAATATTTTCTGATCTATTTTGGGCTTCCTTTGCTACCACAGACTGATCCAAATCTGAGCATAAGCCTGCAGTGAAGTTCACCTGCCCATGAAATGAGAGGGGCAGTGGCTGAGAGTCACTGGAGTTGCAGGACGTGCTTCTAACTGGAATTTTGTTTCTCCCCCAGAGGAGATTGCCAAGCACAAGGGTCCCCCCGTCTTTACACAGGAGGAGAGGTACAAAATGGTGCAGGCCATCAAGTGGGTGGATGAGATTGCTCCTGGAGCTCCTTATGTCACCACGCTGGAAACCCTGGACAAGTACAGCTGTGACTTCTGCGTGCATGGAGGTGAGTGGGGATGGGGCAGTGGCTGTGCTGACCTGGGCTCCAGGTGTGCTCCAGGTGTGCTCCAGGTGTGCTCCAGGTGCCCTGCTGCAAACCAGCAGGGGCAGGGCTACCTGCACAGCTCTGCCTTCTCAACACCTGCACTGGGCAGCACAGCTGCTTCGGGTCTCGTGGTCTGGAGAAACATCAGTGTGCTCAGAATCTCGAGAGTGGCCTGGGCCCTTGGTTTTAACTTACAGAGGTGAAATGTCTCATTTAAAATTATCCCGAGGTTGCCCTTAGTACCAGCAGAAATTTGTGCAAAGGGGAAAGCCATTTACAAAACTTAAGCGTGAAAAACACTATTGAAAAGGAAAGCATGCAGAAATACAACCATGTTTATTTCTACTTATCCTGGGACAAGGTTAGATCTGAAAAGCTTCTCTCTTTATCCAGCTGATAAGCTGTTCAGTGGCTCAGCTGACTGTGTGGCCAGAGACCTAGTTCTTAGTGTGAACACTTTTGGTTGCACTGTTGCTAAAGAGCACCAGTGTTCTGAGGAAACGTTCTTGCTCTGGGACTCTGTCCCTTCCTGGGCTGCTGCCAGTGCTCATTAAGCCTCAGCCCTTCTTCCCTGCCCCTCTGAAGCAATTTTGTTACTTTGACCAGGAGTAGTCTTTGCACTCATTTCGTGTATCTCTCATCTGATCCCAGCCACCTGCTGGTGATAAGCCAAGTATTTCACAAAGTGTAAATAAATCCCTAATCTTTAGAAGATAAATATTCTTTTTTCACGTGGATGGAGTGGTTATCAAATTCCTCATTACCTTCGTTGCCTGCCCTGAGGGTGTCTGGTGTACGTGATCCCTGCAGGGGTGCTGAGGGGTTGTGGCAGCACAGGGGTGCCCGTGGCCCTGCTCCAGCTGCTTGCATTCATCCCCTGTGCCACTCGCTGACCTGTCGCAATCACCCCGTGCTCTCCGAGCAGCACCCTGCCCCGGCAGCTTGGCCAGGCTGTGTTTGTGCAAAGGCTGAGTGTGGAAATAGCTGAGCTGACCTGAGGTGGTGGCAGCAGCCCTGCTGTGTGTGCCCTGCTGGCAGTGTGTGCCCAGCTGTGTGTGTGCCCGGCTGTGTGTGCCCTGCCCAGCTGTGTGTGCCCTGCTGGCAGTGTGTGCCCTGCTGTGTGTGCCCAGCTGTGTGTGCCCTCCTGGCACGCCAGGCTGTGCTCTGAGGGGAGGCTGTGGGGCTTTAGGGAATTGAGCAGGACTGAGGCACCCTCTGTGTGGGCACACTCAGGGCTGCCCACTGGCTCCTTTGGCAAAGGGAAACCAGCTTAGCTTTTGCTTGTGAAGGCTTTGCACCATCACCAAAAGTGTGAGAGGTGTTTCTGCAGGGGGAGTTGGGAGCCGTGAACCAGAGATGAGCCAGAATAGCCTCTGTGGAAGGGTCCTGGATGTCACTGTGGGAGGAAGAACTTTCCACTGGATTAACTGTTTCATTGACTGAAAACTTGTAACATGAGCCAAGGGTTAAAACCAGTCCCAGAATAGCTAAAATGTTCATTTTTAACATTGATACAGATAGTGCTTGTTTATTGTCATTCAGACAATAGTCAGCTGTGCCTGCTGCTGCAGAGCACCCAGCAGTGCCCCAGATGGGTGATGGTGTTAATGTCCAGGAATATCCCTGTCTCCACAGACACAGTCGTCACAGTTGTCACTTCCCTGACATCTTTGCGGGGCACAGGACGTGTCCCCTGTGGAGGCACAGGGATTTGGATTGCAGAGTTGTAGGTGTGTGGGACCTGCACAGCTGCTGCTTTTGTGCAGGAGAGCTTGTGTCCAGTTCTGAGGCTTTTCTCTCCCTGCAGATGACATCACCTTAACTATCGATGGCAAGGACACCTATGAGGAAGTAAAGACAGCAGGGCGATACAGGTAACCTCTTGCTTACCTGTTTATCTTGTTTTGGGCAGTTAGACTTTGTGCCTTGAAGGAAAGTCAGATGAAACATACCATTCTTCAGGTCACACCTGAATTTGGCTGTGTGTCAGAGCTTCTATTGCTGCCAGCATTTTGGCTTCAGGGAAGGGGGGCAGCCATTCCTGCCCAGTGGGGCTGTCTGGTTCCTGGCAGGGCTGGCTCTGGCTTTAAAGCCTCCCTGAGAGCTGGCTGGAGGGCAGCCTGGGCGAGGGAGGCGTTCACACGAGCAGTGGCTGTGGCCGGAGGGTGATGCCAAGGCTCAGCAGATAAATGCTGCTCGCTCTTGGGAAGGAAGGCTGAGGAGGCCAGCCCCTGGTTTGGGTTTATCAGGTGTCACAGGTGCCCTGTGGCAGTGGTGGGAGGACAGAGCCTTGGCTCCTGCCTCATCCTTTGCTTGTCTCTGCAGGGAATGCAAGCGCACCCAGGGCGTGTCCACCACTGACCTTGTTGGCCGCATGCTGCTCATGACCAAGGCTCACCACAGCAACATAGTGAGTCAGGGGGCTTGGGGGGAGGTGGGGCACAGGGCGCGAGCAGCTCTTCCCTCTGCTGCCCGACTCGGAGCAGAGTGGAGGCCAGAGCTCCCGGGCCTGGCTCCTGCCTGCAGAACGGGCAGGGGCAGCAAAACAACCTGCTCATGTTTGCTCCAGCGCGCCTGAGATCGCACTGTGATGGGACACACTCTGGTGCCTCACGATCAGGGTGGGCCTCGGAACCTTAGGGGAGCTGCAGCAAGCCCATGACTCCTCCCAGGGTGAAACAACACAGTGCAGGCACATGGATCTGTCAGCCAGGTGCTGCCAGAGTTAGAAACTCCTCTCCCTTTCCACTGAGCTTCATGCTTCTGCCTTCTGTTGTCTCTAGTCTAATCAGACCTTTCTTGAGTCTCCTCAGCTCTCTCTGGCTGGGAGCTAACCTAGCCAGGGAAAAGTAAAGTCAATGGTTTTATGTCAGGTAATGAGTTGAATTTACTGAGTAATGAAGGAATCGGGGAACAGAATCACCTGGGCAACTGCAGCAACAAGTGACCCACAGGCGAATTGAGGGATAGAGGGACATGTTTTGGTGTGCTGAGCTGTTAAATTGGCTTAGCTGTAGCACAGGAGTTGAGAGCGAGATCTGCCCGGTGCTGCTGGCTGCTGCAGGTGCCTGAGCCTGCCTCTCGTGAGGGTCTTTGGCAGGAACAGGGATGCTGTCCTGTCAGGGGCTTGCTGGGCCCAGGGAGCATGCAGCTGTGCAGCACTCTTGGGGCTGCAGGTTGGGCAAGAGCCACCTTTGCTGGCAGTGCCAAGCTGGGATCAGATAAGGACACATTTCCTGTGACTCATGCTGGGACAGGACTCTGGTTAGGTATTAACCAGTTTGGCAGCATTCAGTGACAGGATCCCTGGTGTGCGTTTGAGCCAGCACTTCCCACACACAAGCATATCTTGGTTGGATGAGCTGTGCAAGTGCTTAAACATTTTGACTCTTTATCTCCCTTCAGGATGAGGACCTAGACTATCGGAAGCACACTGACAACTTTGGGAAGGTAATGTGAGTTCTGGTCGTGGACGTCTGGTTGTTGTCCTGCCTGAGAAGGATTCCCAGTGTGCTTTCTGGCCTGTTGCAGGCTTGTTTGTCCTCCCACGTGTAGCAGCAATGTCTCAGTGAGCGTCCGTGTCCCCACATGGCAGTGGGTGTGATGGGCAGGTGTGGCACAGGGTAGCATGAGCTGTCCTTGAGGGGGGCCGCAGGGCTGCTGTGCCCCCTGAGCCTCTGCTGGGCTCCTTCCTTGCTTGTCAGTTCCTTCCTGCCACTTCCCGAGTGCCCGTGGCTCCAGCCTGGGACAGCCTCTGCTGCTCCCTCAGTGCTCGTGTTGTTGTGCAGGTGCTGCGTTAGGTGTGGACACAGCAGGTGTGGCCACGCTGCTGCAGAGCTCCAGGGCAGCACAGCCCTCTCAGTGCTCCAGCTGCCAGGGCCAGCCTGGGGCTCACACTGCTCCTGAGGAGCCAGCCCTGTTCATTTTCATCGTCCCTGCTGGATGAGCTGCACCAGCAGCTCGAGCAACTCTTTTTTTACTCACAGGGGATTTGCTGACTTGTCTGAATCTTCCTTAGTTGCCCACTGTTTTGGGGGTCTTGAGTAGGTGTTTTGGGGCATGTTGCTCTAGCATGGCTGTTTGCTGGGGCTTGGATCTGGGTAGGATGGCTCAGGGCACTGGGTACCCTGGGTGACCCTGACAGCTGAGCTGTCTGCGTGCTGCCCTTTGCAGGGCCTGCTCTGGCCTCAGCTGCAGCGTGGGTGTCCTGCCAAGGGCCATGGAGCAGCTTTGGGTGGCAGAGCAGGTGATTGTGGCTGCTTGCAGAGCTGCCACGCGGTGGGGACCGAGCTCTGTGCCAGAGCTGAGGGCCAGGCAGGCGCCCTGGGGCTGCCAGAGCGTAGCTCGGTCGGTGTTGTCTTGCTTCTCATGGAAATTCAAACCTGCCCTGTTGTCTTCCTCCTTCCTGAGCTTTCCTCTTGGCATCTCCTGAGCTGTCTGCTGAGGTGATGGTTTAGACAGGGCATAAAGGGCTTTTGTGAAACTGTCTGAACACTCGATGCCAGGAATGTAGAGAGTCCGAGGCGCTGGGAGTTGTTACAGTGGCCAGCAAATTCAGATGAGCAGATTGCCCAGCACTGTGTGTTGTCCCAAGCCCCTCGCAGAGCCTGAAAAGAAGCTGTGTCTGGTGTATGTTTCCACAGGGGCCCAAGGGTCACAGTCCCTGGACTGGTGTCTCGCAGTTCCTGCAGACATCCCAGAAGATCATCCAGTTTGCATCAGGGAAGGAGCCCCAGCCAGGAGACACCATCATCTACGTGGCTGGAGCCTTCGACCTGTTCCGTATCCTTCGCTCTCTAGGGCTGCACCGGGGCTCTTTGGCTGATGTTGCCATGTTGGGAGGCACCACACTGCGTATTTGCCTCGTTCTTCCTTTTCTGTAGCTGTGTGTGAGGGAGGAGTCAGGAGTGAGTTCTTCCTGGCAGTGTCTTAGTCACAGCATGCTGAGAAAGAGGCTGTAGCTCCTGTGTGGAGCAATCTGTGGCTGTTGGATTTCAGGAAGGCAGACAGATGGATATTCTCAGCACTTCAGTGATTGTGGTGCGGACTGGCTGCCACAGCACCTGGAGCTGACACGCTGTTCCTGGGGCAGGCTTTGAGGCTTCGTGCCAGAACATCTGAACAAGCAGAAATTCTGGATAGAGGCAAAGCTGAGTCCATGTAAGTTGGAGCTGAAAAAGTTTCTGGCTTTTGCCCAGAACCAGTGGAACCTGAGGAGGGAGGCAGCAGCTGTTCTTGGAAATAGGCAATAAGAGTGCAAGAATAAAATCGTAGGGATTCCTGACTCCCGCTGTCGTTTTTGGGTGATTCTATTTCTGTCCTCCTTCCTCTGTTTTCCACGTGAGCTTCAATTCCTTAAACTGATCTGCAGATGTTGGCCACGTGGATTTCCTGGAGAAGGTTCACCAGTTGGCAGAGAAGCCCTACATCATTGCTGGGCTGCATTTCGATCAGGTCCGTGTGGAACTGTCCCAGGGCAGAGCAGCTGGGCCTGCTCTCTGAGCCAGGCAGCCTGTGCTCCCACAGACAGGACAGGGATGTTGTTTTGGGACAGGGAGGAGGGAAGGGAGTTGCTCTGTCTCCCTCTGACCTGCCTGGTGCTCTGCCCTAGGAGGTGAATCGCTACAAAGGGAAGAACTATCCCATCATGAACATCCACGAGCGAACCCTCAGCGTCCTGGCCTGCAGGGTGAGTGGTGTCTCTGCACTCTGAGAGCTGCCCAGGGCCTGCTGGTGGGCACCTGTGCTCAGTGACTTGCACGAGCTCCTTGGTGTGCCCTGAGAACACAGACAAGATGAATCACTTGAGGCTGCCAGAGGTGTTGGTGCTCTTGGGAGGCTCTGCTGGGCTCCTGTGCCATCCTGGCTGATCCAAGCTGTGCCCCATCCAGCTGCTCTGCTGGCAGTGGCAGGGCTGGACGCCACAGAGGGAGCTGTGTGGTCAGACAGAAAACTCTGCTCCCTGCAGCAGGGGAGAAAATGCCTGAGGCAAAATCGTGGGGAACCCCAGAAATGTGTGCCTGGAGCAATTAACTTTTGGATTTGCTCTATAGGCACAGAAAGGACATTCTGTAGAGGAACAAAAAGTTGTTGTGTGACAAGCAGTTACTGCTGAACCCACTCCTCTGTTCCCTTATTTGAACTTGTGTAGCCAGGTGACCTGCTGGGGTCTCTTTAAGAAGCAGCTGGCTTCTGGCTTGGGATTGGGTTTTGGGTTTTTCTTTGATGGTTTTTTTTAAATTTAAAAACGCTACCTGGTTCCTTTTTCAGTATGTCTCAGAGGTGGTGATTGGAGCTCCCTACGCTGTCACTGCTGATCTGCTGGATCACTTCAGGGTGAGTCCTTGCACAGGGATGGACATGGAGATGTGTGTGGAGCTGAAGTGGTGCAGGACAGCACAGGGGGGCAAGGAGGGAGGGTCTTGCTCGCACTGGGACTCAGGCTGTGCATGCACGAGGGTGCCTTTGCTGGTCTCCAGGCTGTGCTCAGTGGGAGTAGTGGCAGGAAATAAATGCCCCTGGCATCCTCTGGATCTTGTCAGTGACTTTTGTGTCCTCCTCCAGGTGACGCTTGTTTGCCATGGGATGACTGAGGTGGTGCCGGACAAGGACGGTTCTGATCCATATGAGGTAAAGTGCCACTTGCTTTGTCAGCATTTGATGGCCAGGGCCTGGCTCTGGTTGTGCTCCTGGACTGAGAAGGTACTGCAGAGGAGGCTTTGGCAGCTTTTCATCCACGCCTGAGGGCAGCATCGTGGAGCAGTCAGTAAATCACTCCCAGCAGCTCCACTCTCCAAGCACTGCTTTGCTCTGCCTGTTCCCGATGCCTTTGTGGCAGAGGGAGAAATCCTGGTGCTCTGTGCTGGGCAGCTCCTGTGTGTGTGGAGCTTTGCTTTCAGCGAGTGTTTGCTGTGCCTGCGAGGAGGTCACTGTGCATCCTGCCTGTGCCACGGCTCAGCTCAGCTGGGCTGCACTCCCAGGGTGCTCACAGCCCTGTCTGTGTCTCTCTGCAGGAACCAAAGCGACGTGGCATTTTCCAGCTGGTGGACAGTGGCAGCAATCTCACCACAGATCTAATTGTGCAAAGAATCATCAAGAACAGGTTGGATTTCTTTTTCTCCTGGTTCTGTCACGTACTGTTCCCTCCAGAGTGTCTGGGGACTGATGGATGGGACCAAACTGGGAGAGAAGGTGTTGTCTGAAGGCACAGAGCAACAAACTTGGCTTCCTTCCTCTGTCATGGCTTGGGCAGGCTCTAAATGTGATTGCATCAATCTGTACAGGGAAGGGAACAGCTGAACTCTGCTGTGTCAGAACGTGCTGCCCTGCACATTTATTGGTTTTCTCCTTTAATGATAAATTTCCCTTGCTGTATCCCAGGGGAAAGGGCATGTTGCTTTTGGTCTTTTTAGGCCCGAGTCCTTTCAGCACCTTGGCTCACATCTGTGATAAATTTGATTTTGGTATTACATCAGCCAGAACAGCCCAAGAATGGAATAGCAGCTTCCACAGAGGGAGAAGGAAGGCAGTGTGACCAGTGTGGGAGTGCAGAGGGCTGGCAGCAGCCATGGGAGGCTCTGGGGGTCTTGGGGGGTTTCTGAAGGGCTCTCAGAACTGAGCAGCACAGAAGGTAACACTGCCCTGCTCCAGGGGCTTTTGTCTACAGGCAGCGTGGGTGAATGAGAATCTCAGGCACTGTGTGGTACTTGCAGGCTGGAGTTTGAAGCTCGCAACCAGAAGAAAGAAGCCAAAGAGCTGGCTGTGCTGGAGGCCATGAGGAGGCTGGAGCAGGAGAAGCACTAGGCTGCAGAGGGGCGTGTGTGAACCACCGGGAGCTGCAGCTTCACCCTCTGCGAGAGCAGCTGCTCTGCAGGAAAGGAGCCCTGGAGGGGGCAGCCCTGCTGGCACGCAGGATGCGCTGCCCTAGCTCCTCCTGCACTAATTATGCAGACATAACGAGTTGGGATTCCGTTGCCTAGTTTTATCTCCGTTAATCAGTCCCTGTCCCCTTTCCCAGGAGGAGATTTGACAAAACAAAAAGGTTTTAATTATAACTAATGTTTTAACACGTTGATGTGCTTTTACCTTCTGCCATTTCTGGCTCTTAGTCGGAGGGAAGTGGAGGAGCTGCCCGCGCCCCCTGCCCTGCCAGCCTGGGCTCAGCAGTGCAGAGCAGCCCCTGGGCAGGGCTTGGTGGCTGCACAGGCCCTGGGAGCAGCCTGGGAACAGGACAGGGCTCCTGGGCTGCCCTGCAGCTCTGCTCAGGAACCAGGGGCTGCCTGCCAGCGGCGGTGCTGGCCCCGCTGTGCTGCCTCTGCTCAGCTCCTGCCCCTGCCCGCACCCAGAGCTGCCCTGGGCAGTTCCTTTGCTGCAGGTGCAGCTGCTCAGGGGCAGGTGGAGCCGGGTCAGGCATTTCTGCCCACGAGGCACAGGGCTCCTGTCCCCAAAGGCTGTCCCGTGCAAGGCAGCAGGACCCGGTGCCTCGTGTGGGCTGTGCTGATGGAGTAGCTGAGGGCAGGGCCTGGCCAGGGGCAGGTTTGGGGGTGTCTCCTGATGGCTGACGTGCAGCGTGCTGCCTCCAAAGGGAGGTGCAGCCTGCGAGATGGGTCCTGAGCTGTGAGCCCCCTCTGCCTCCCACATTCCAGGATCCTGAGCAGCTCACTGCACTGTGCCAGATGGTCCTGCCGGGCTGTGTCTGGTGTCCTCTCTCTTGTAAACTTTTGTTGCTGATCATTAATAAAATGTTGAAGAGTTGTGCATTGGTGTTTTTGGGGCCGAAGCGAAGGGGGCACGGGGCACACGTGCCCTGCTCCTGAGAGGGAGCCCCACACTCCCCGACGCTCCATGGCATGGGGGCTGCTCAGCCCCTCACCCTGCTGGCCCTTCCTGGGCTCTGCCTGGCACAGCAGGGCAGCTCCACGTGTGTCAGAGCTGCAGCCAGGGGCACTGGGGGCACTCCTTGGCTTCTCTCCTAATGAGCACGGTACCCATGTGGGTCAGGCAGGGCTGGCACCGTGTCTGGGATGGGCACTGCAGCCAGGCAGGGCTGGCATCTGGAGCTCCCAGGTCTGGG